CAAAACTTACCTTTTTTCTTCTTTTTTTGCAAAAGAAAAAGATGGCAAATGGCATCCAGTAAAGTGTTCACAGGTTTCTCCTTTTCATCTGTGGTTTACTTTGACAATGATTATAAGCAATACCTCTGCAACAGGTAGCTAAACTGTCCATCTGTCTACTCTTGTGCTCTGTTGCAGGACAAAGAGAGAGGGAGAGAGAGAGAGAGAGAGAGAGAGAGAGAGAGAGAGAGAGAGAGAGAGGAAGGGAGGGAGGGAGAGAGAGAGAGCACATGGGAGAGGGAGATACTCCACAGACAGCCAGGTTTTCCAGAGCACCTGAGTTAGACTCTATAAAAGAGACTGAAATATTGGCCGGAAATTTCTTGCTATCCTTCCTAGCACTTTTTACAATACAAAAAGAATTTCTCTCTCTCTTTTTTTCCTGTATAGAAAGATCTATAAAATGAAGTCTCTTAGTCCAAAATAGTCCCTGGCAGAATGTGAATTAAATGTGTGTTTCATCCATCAGATATTTATAGCTATTTCAAAAAAATCACAAATGCCGAGCCTCCTGAGGGACGAAGACCATACCTCTTACCGCTTGACTCTGAAGGGCTTGTTATAAGCCAAGGAGTACTATGATTAACCTAGGCCCAGCAAACCACGAATCCCGGCAAGACTGCTGACAGTCAGATCCTGGCCCCTGTCTTTCCTCTTGGCCTGTCCCAAGGGAAGCTTCACTTCAGTTACCAAATACTGTACCCTAGCAAGCTTTCGAAGTCTTTCTGAGCTGTAGACTAATAAAAACCACTCAAGGCTTTCTCCTTTAAGCAAGGTTTTTTGAGTAATATTCAAAGCTCCGAGGAGAGTGAAATGCTCAGATAAAGTATGACTGAATTTCAGCTCCATTCCTATTTCTGGGACTTTATATTTTCTTAACATCTTCCAGGTTAATATAATAAAAAAATATTATCATTAGGGCTGGGGAAGTAGCCCCAAAGTACAGTGCCTTTTGGCAGATAGGAGGCCCCGGAATCAAAGCCAAGCAATGGAAATTTATTAAATTCCATGATATAGCAGCCATGATTTGATCATCATTAACAACCATCTAATTATCCTAATTATTGTGATGAAATACAGTATAAGTAGTGAAAGATTATGGTAGTTCAGGACAGGATATTAGAAGAGAAAAATAAAGAGATTCTCTGAAGATAATTTTTTTCTAATATATTAGGTGTGAGCTGCGATATCACAATCTTGGCTTTATGTTTCTGGCTTGGGAGATGAGGATGATATTTTCTTGGTAAGGCTACCAAGAAAACATAATCTGATTTGAATGTGAAGACCTCTATTTAATATATGAAAGAACATGCCAAGTAAATAGATGAATATAAAAATCTGGTATTCAAGGGAAATCTTAAGAGTACAAATATAAA